AGTAACTTCCACCCCATATTAAGAAAAAAATCTTCTGGCTGGGTATAATAGCTTATGCCTGTAATCCCAGCATTTTGGGGAGACCAAGGTTGGGCAGATTGCTTGAGACCAGGAGTTCAAGACTAGCCTGAGCAACATGGTGGAACCCCATCTCTACAGAAAAACACAGAATTAGCCGGATGTGGTGGTGGGCTCCTGTAGTCTGAGCTACCAAGAGGCTAAGGCAGGAGGATCACATGAGCCCAGGAGGTGGAGGCTGCAGTGAGTTATAATGGCACCACTGCATTCTAGCCTGAACAACAGAGCAAGACACTGTCTCAAAAAAAAGGGAAAGAAAGCTTCCCCTTAGAGTCTAACATACTAGCTAAAATCATAATTTTTTCTTTCTAAAAAAAAAAAAAAAGTGAATTTTTTTTGTTTGTTTTTCCACCTTGAATTTTTATTAAAGTTACTAAGCAGTGTCCTGTGACTCCAGCCAGTTGGAGACAATTGACATCTGAAACATCTAACCTGTGCTGTAGGTATAACTGAGAGTTGGCTCATGATTTATGTTAAAATCTCAGGTCATCATAGCTGAGTGCCACCATTTTGGGTGAAATGCAAACCAGACTGTCTTTAGACCCAAGGGCTTGACTCTGAAGACAGGGCTTGAAAGGACAAACGGTCTTGATTCCACTTGCCAATCAGGAGAGTGATCAGAGCAGAGGGAGGGATCGGAAGAAAAGCTACTGGGTGGCTGTCTTTGGAGGGTAAGGATGAAACGCTTTCATTTCCTTGGGACTCTGAGGCTCCCTCTTTCTCTCCAGGAAGAACCCTGAATGGCAGTCTGGGAAGGTTTGTTTCTGCACTGTCCTCCAGACCCAGCTGATCTATATCAGAAACCTGGGCTCACGCTCCTGTGCAGGTACCTCAGACCCTCCTGAGGTAGTTCTGAAATAGGATTTATTCAGGAGCGCTCAGATGTATCACAGGAAGCTTAGTGATAAAAATCTGGCAATGGCCTGCATGCTCTCAGCCTCAGCAGTGCCACAGGGGGCCAGGGCTCTTTGCCCCAAAAGAAGAGCCTCTCTTTTCCCTCATGTTTTGTTTATCCTGACAGAAATGTCAGGGGTGAGTCTGAGGAAAAGAGGGGGTTAGCGGTTAGTCTTTAATGCTGTGAAATTACCCCTTCTACCCACATGGAATTCAAGAGAGGGGTGCCAGCTAGAATGGTGCTCATAGCACAGATGTGAGGCCCTCATGAGGAGGGCCTGGGCTGCCACACTCCTCACTGTGTCTGCAGTGTCCAGCATGATCCTGACTGGTGTGGGTGCTCTGTATAGGGTAGGGACGCCTTCAGGATATCTTTTCTGTGGATTTCCTCCAGGAGGACCATTGAGTGGCCCAGTATGTGCATTTGTCCCAGTTCACTGCCAGCTAGCCATAACATTGAACAAGGTACTTTCTCAGGGACCTCACTTTCTGTGATACATAGGTTGGAATAAATTCTTCCTCAGGTACTTCCTTGTGCCATTGAAGGCCTTAAGGGTCCCTCTGGGTCTGATGGCGTAATTGCATCGAGGGAATGTGACAGAGTCAGGGTGAGGCGGAGTGGTAGTGATGCACTCCTGTTGGTTGTGATTAATAACAGACCAGAGTCAGGACCCCTAAAAGAAACACTGTGGGTGTTTCCCAGTGTGTACCACTTCTTCATGAAACTTCTCAACTTTAAAACTCTATACTGGCCGGGCGCCTTGGCTCACGCCTGTAATCCCAGCACTTTGGGAGGCTGAGGTGGGTGCATCACGAAGTCAAGAGATCAAGACCATCTTGGCCAACATGGTGAAATCCCGTCTTACTAAAAACACAAAAAAATTAGCTGGGCATGGTGGCACGCGCCTGTAATCCCAGCTTCTCAGGAGGCTGAGGCAGGAGAGTTGCTTGAACCCAGGAGGCAGAGGTTGCAGTGAGCCAAGGTGGTGCCACTGCACTCCAGCCTGGCAGCTGACGACAGAGTGAGACTCTTGTCTCAAAAAAAAAAAAATCTCTATACCTGCCATTTTTCACAGTTTTCCTGTCTCCTAATAATAAATGTTTACTTTGGGCTATGTCCCTTACATACTTGATATCATTCAGTCCTTAACAAAGCAGCCCATTTATGGATGAGCTGCCTAGATGCAGAGATACTCACTCAGGAACCTGCCAAGCTCACTTAGAGGTGTAGGCCCACAGCTCTTTTTCTTTTTTTTTTATTTGGACGCAGGTTCTTACTCTGTGGCCCAGGTTAGAGTGCAGTGGCACAGTCGCTCCCAAATAGCCAGGACTACAGGCTCACACCATCATGCCTGGCTAATTTTTGTGTTTTTTATAGAGACGGGATCTTACTTTGTTGCCCAGGCTGGTCTCAAACTCCTGGGCTCAAGTCATCCACCCACCAGTTTTCTGGATCACTTCCCTTAATTTGTTGGGGGTTTTGTTGTTTGTTTGTTTGTTTTGAGACGGTGTTTCACTCTTGTCCAGGCTGGAGTGCAATGGCAGGATATCAGCTTACCACAACCTCTGCCTCCCAAGTACCTGGGATTACAGGCATGTGCCACCACGCCCAGCTAATTTTTTGTGTTTTTAGTAGAGATGGGTCTCAAACTCCCAACCTCAAGTAATCCACCCACCTCAGCCTCCCAAAGTACCAGGATTACAGGCATCAGCCACCTTCACCCAGCCTTGTTTTTTTTTTTTTTCTTTTTTTCAATCTTTTTTCCTAGGCCTGCCACTGGCTCCAAAATGAAGAGGCTTGCCAACTCCCAGTCTAGACAGTTGATAGAATCTGTCTTGATAGTCACATGGAGGCCTTCAAACTGCCCACCATACCCTCTTGAGTTTCTGGAGCCATTCGTGTTGACTCCCTTAGTGATTATGTCAAGGGTAGTAAGTTTTCCCATGTGGAGTGTTCACAAAGAGGCTAGATGACCGCATCTTGGGGTTTTTATAGAGAATTCTTATGTGTTACCCAAGAGAGAGATGTAGCTCCCTCAGGATTCCTCCCAGATACAGGATTCTATGGTGTGCTTGGGCATTTTGCAACTCTTGAAATTCACGATGGGAACTTGACCTTTGTCTCCTCTCCTCTCCCCATGCCTTGCTCAGAACGCCTGTCTGGGGGAGGCTGCTTCTGCCAAAAACAGAATTGAGTATCTTATCTGATAAGAATGTCCAAGTGTCAGAGTTGGAAATAAGCTTATGAGACCTTTTAGTTCAAACTCATCACTTGGCATCTAAGGCCTGGAGAATGTAGGAGAATTGAATGGTGTCTGTTGCTGACAGAGCCAGTCTCCGGGGACTCTATTCTAAGAATCTTTCACCTACCAAACCAAGGGAATGTGTTAACTAATTACTTACTCATTCCATCTGCCTTTCTGTTTCATTGTTGCTCTGAAGTTTAATCATTAAACTTAGAACAGTGTCGAGCACAGAGTAGGCATTCACATTTAGTGAAGGAAATTTCTGACTCCAAAATCCTTGAGGTTCACAAACAATCGTGGGGGAAAACCACTCATTTCTGTCTTGTCTGTGACATTAATAACCTAGTAAGTAAACCTGCAAACTCCGTTGCTAGGCCCTCGATGGGGCTGCCCGTCTTCTGCCGGGCAAAGGATTGTGTTCCTTCCAGGTGCTGCTCTGGGTGTCATCAGATCAGCATAAAAAATCTGAAGTTATCATTAATGTTCCATCCCAAAGCAAAGAAATTGGCCAGATGGTTAGGCTCTGAAGCTGTGTCTGGAAAAATAAATGTGCTTTCATTAGACTGCTTGCGTTCTTGGGACTTGCTAATTCCCTCATGAGATCAAGGACCACCATCCCTTCCCATCCTTCTCCTCAGCTCGGCTGCCTTCAACTCCTGGAGGACCCCAGGGAACAGAGCCCCTCCTATACTTGGCTCTCTCTTTCCCATGGGCTGAGCCAGCAGTTGGTGTGATGTGTTTGGAGTTTGCCACAGTGTTCCCACTCTGTTGCTTGTGAGCCTCAGTCCTCTCAGGGCTACACCTTAGACCCACAGCCCTGCAGCCAGCCAGGAAAGATGGGCACCCACTGGTGGGTTTTTTCAATCCACTGAGTCTTCTTTCAGTTCCACGAAGGAGCTTATGAGACCTTTTAGTCCAAACCCATCAGTGCTTTGTGGGTCACTGAGGAGGGGGTTAATGCCAGTGCCACTTAAGAAGCAGGCATTGCGGCTGGTCTGTCCTGGGACAGCAGCCTGGTCCTCCCACCATGGTGTCTGCTGGCAGGTGGGGGCGTGGGAGCTGCACGTGACACAAACCCAGCCTCTGGAGCTTGCCCAGGGTAGCCCCTGAGTTGCCCAGTACAGCTCCCACATCTGCCTGCACTCACAGTGCTTCTTCAGTTCCTGTGTGAGGCTAGGGATAACCCAAGTGAGAATTGTGTTTTGTCATTTTAGGCCTACCAAGCATGGGGCTTGGGAGAAGAGATGGCAAGGTTGGAGGGAGACCATCCTCACTGCCGCGCCTTCCTCCTATCCTCAAGGCCTGGCCCAGGAATCAGGGCCAGCGTTGGGGCTCGGCAGGGCCCTACTGGACATCTGTCCACCTCAGTTGAGGATATTGGCAAGACTTCTCCAGGCTCTGCAGACAAGTTGCCTTGCCCAGTGCTTGTGGACTTGGGATCTGAAACTTTTTGGGCTCTGGCCTCTCAGACCCAGCCCTCTCCAAACCCTTCTCCACCTAGTACATGGGGACCCTCCACCCTTCACCCCACCAGGCAGCTGCCTGCCATGCTCAGACCCCTCTGCCCAGCCTTGTGGATGGCTTCCTTATGGAACACCATCAGGCTGATGAAGGAAGGAGGCACTCAGGGAAATGGGAAGAAATGGTGTACAGCTCAGGCTCCACTGGCCAACAACAGGCTTTTTCCATGGCCACCAGCAGCAGGCGGTCTCCCCTCTGTCCCACGCGGTCTCGGCACTATGTGGAGCTACAGGCTCATCCTTCTTGTTGCTTGCATTTTAGGAAGATGATGAGAAGCTTATTGAGGAAATCCAGAAGGAAGCTGAAGAAGAACAGAAAAGAAAGAATGGAGGCAAGTGCCCTTCCCCAGGCTCCCAGGACAGAGCAGCAGCCATACCTGGCTTGCCATCAAGGAGCCTGCATGACCTGGGGTCCTTTGCTCCCTTGGCAGTGCTGAGCTGCAGGGCTTGAGCCACCACACCTGGCTGTTTTGTTTTTTTTTTTTAAAGAGTATAGCTGGGTGCAGTGGCTTATGCCTGTAATCACAGCACTTTGGGAGGCCAAGGCGGGTGAATCACGAGGGCAGGAGTTCGAGACTAGCCTGGCCAATATGGTGAAACCCTGTCTGTACTAAAAATACAAAAATTAGCTGGGCATGGTGGTGCGTGCCTGTAGTCCCAGCTACTCGGGAGGCTGAGGCAGGAGAATTGCTTGAACCCAGGAGGCGGAGGTTGCAGTGAGCCGAGATTGTGCCATTGCACTCCAGTCTGGGTAACAACAGCGAAACTCTGTCTCAAAAAAAAAGTACAAAAATTAGCCAGGCATGGTGGTACACGCCTATACTCCCAGCTACTCGGGAGACTGAGGCAAGAGAATCACTTGAACCCGGGATGGGGAGGTGACAGTGAGCCAAGATAGCACCACTGCAGTCCATCCTGGGCAACAGAGTGAGACTCTTGTCTCAAAAACAAAACAAAACAAAAAGAATGTAACTGAGTCACAGAGGTAGCCCCTCAAGGCCCTGGCTCTTGAAGGATGCCTTACTGGGCTGGGCTGGGTGGGTGGACATGCCACCTCCCACGGTGCCACTGTAGAGCAAGACACTGAGGGAAAATTCAGATTTGTCCTTGATTTCTAATAGTGTTGTTGGGGAGGTGTCCATGTTTTGTGCTTTAATCAGCCTGTGGAGCCCCTCCTGTGTCCAGAGGTCACTAGCCTAGTCCCAAGCTAGATTCAGATTCCAGCGAGGTATGTTTAATCTGTTTTTTCCACTAAACCGCACCTCCCTTTCAGAGAACACCTTCAAACGAATCGGACCTCCACTGGAGAAGCCCATGGAGAAGGTACAGAGGGTGGAGGTCCTCCCGAGGCCTGTCCCACAGAACCTGCCGCAGCCACAGATGCCACCCTATGCCTTTGTGCACCCACCCTTCCCCCTGCCGCCCGTGCGGCCCGTGTTCAACAATTTCCCACTCAACATGGGACCCATCCCAGCCCCATACGTGCCCCCGCTGCCCAATGTGCGGGTCAACTATGACTTTGGTCCCGTCCACATGCCCCTGGAACACAACCTGCCCATGCACTTTGGCCCCCAGCCACGGCATCGCTTCTAATGGCCCGGAACCCCCACTGAGCAGCACAGAGCCCATTTGGGGTGGGGGTGTGGGATGGAGAACACTCCCCTCCCCCAAGGCTGGTGGCTGTGCCATTGCTTCCTAAGTCAGGTTGAAGGGTAGGCTGGTTTTCTTCCCACCTTTCCTAGAAGGGCCACTGCTCCTGGAAGAGTGACCACAGCTGGTGGCCCTCTGGGGGGGCCTGCATGGGATAGGTCTGGCTCCCACTCGGCAGAGTCAAAAGGGCCTCGAAGCCCTTCTTTGAAGAGTTCTGCCGGTGGCCCTGGCTGCTGTGTCACTCCAGTCCCTGCAGAAAGAGACCAAGAGGAAATATTTTGCCTCCATTCACTTTTTCCCCTAGCAAACACCAGGGAAAAAACCTCTCAGAATTAAAACCACATGAGCCTTCCTTATATAGCACAGACAGATCCATAATAAAGATGAAAATGGTGGAGTTCATAGAGAACTGTGATGTGAACTGCCCCTCCTTTCCCCCGAGGCCACCAGGGGCGGCCCTTCTGCCTTATCCCTTTATCCATGGTATAGGCCAGGGCAGGCTGCAGTGCCCCTGCTGCTCACACCTGGGCCTCTCCTTGGAGCCAACCCCTGGGGAGTAAGGCAGCTCCAAGGAGCCATTTCCCTGGAGGTCCTCATAGGGGCTCCAGGTTGGGCAGAAGGAGCTGTGCCCACGGGCCTGGGAAGCATTGCTCAGGGTGGGGGCTGGCACCATGGCCTACAGAGGCACTGCCACAGCCATAAGGGCCAAGATGCTTCCCCCTATCCAGAGCCCATGCGCCACTACAGTGAGCATTGAGGGTACCTCTCCTCTCTCTTCATATAGCCTACTCAGATCAGGCAGCAACAAACCCATCTTGTGCCATGGGTTTTGTTCTATTGCTATCTAAGTTTCTCTTCCTCAGTCTCTGGAAAGTCAGGCTGAGAAATCCTTACCCAAGCTAGTCCATTGCAGCATGCTGGATGGTTCTGAAGCTGGCGCATCAAAAGATCCTCTTGGGGTAGCTGGGACAGAGACCTGGTGGTCCTGCCAGGCAGCCCAACTGCTGGGGAAGACATTTCTGCCACCCTGGGTGATGAGCAGCTTTTCCCCTATGGTTTTCTGGGGGAGGAGTGGGCCTTTTTAGGGGGACAGGTGACCCTGGGTGCCACCCCTGCCTGGCATGAGCCCCTGTGTGTTCTCAAGTGCTTAGTGAAGGCAGGTAGACGGTGCTGTCTGGTACCCCCCATATGAGGGCCACTTCCCTTCTCATGCAGTCAGCTGAGCATCAGCTCAGCCCTGCCATGTCCCTACTCATTCTTGCCTCCTGTCCAGCCCCGGGTTTCTAGCTGTGCCTGAGGCATCAGTCTGGCCCATTGGCAGATAAGAGACCTGAAGCTTTCCTGGCCACAGGTGTCACTATCTCCTTCTCTTCTTGGTCTACCATATTCTTGTGTTGCCATGGGGTTCCGAGAGGTTTGGAGTTCACAGACCTCAGACAGGGCTGACCCCGACAGCCATTAGGGTGGGGCTGCTTCAGCCTCTGGAGCAGCCCTCCATCGTCCTACAGCAGGGCTGCCACACCCAAGGTCTGGAGGGCATCATCATTCACTGTCATTGGCTTCTCAGATGTATTTCAAGTACTAAAGTGGATTTAAAAAGATCTAAGATGGCCAGGCTTGGTGGCTCATGCCTGTAATCCCAGCACTTTGGGAGGCCGAGGAGGGCGGATCACCTGAGATAGGGAGTTTGAGACCAGCCTGACCAAACATGGTGAAACCCTGTCTCTACTAAAAATACAAAAGTAGCCGGGCGTGGTAGCGCATGCCTATAATCCCAGCTACTTAGGAGTCTGGGGCAGGAGAATCCCTTGAACCCAGAAGGTGGAGGTTGCAGTGAGCTGAGATCTCGCCATTGCACTCCAGCCTGGGTGACGAGAGCGAAACTCTGTTTCAAAGAAGATCTAAGATACTCATTCTTTCTGCCTTTTCCCAAGATGGAGGCTTTGAAGACAGCTGATCACCTGGGCATGGGGTAAGCGTGCGCTGGGATGCCAGACTTGGGGGGCAGCCTAATGCTATGTCCTTGCCGGCTCCCCTACCTGTTGGGCTACCCCAACTTTGCTACTAGCCTGAATGACAGTGCCTTGGAAAGGCGGGCTCCACAAAGCTGCAGCAGGATTGTCTTCAGTATCTTAAACGTGCTCCCTGTGCTTGCCCCTGGGAGGGTCTCTGGGAGCAGAGGGAGGCTGCAGACATCCTAGCTGAAGCGTAGGTGACCTCAGGCCCCAGGAGCTTCAGCTCCTTCTGTCCTGCACACCAGGCATGTGGCCCCAGCAAGTGGCCCAGGCAGGACAAAGGGAGCAGGCAGCAGCTGCAGGAACAGCCCCAGACAGGTGCTGGCCCCAACCCTGGCAGGGAACAGGGAGCCCAGAGTGATGTTTCTCCTAAGGCCAAATCCCAGGGCATCTCTTTTTAGAAGAGCTCCAGCTGTTTCTGGTCACACTGTGCTGGTATTGAAGGAGTTGCTGCCTTTTTCCTTGTAGGGCCCTGATTCCTGAGGATTCTCCCCAAGCCAGGCACAGGGGGTTGCAGGGCTGCCATGAGCACCCACCTTAGACCTCAGGCTCCTGCCTGCACCAATGATAGGGCCGGGGAGAGAAGCACTGGGGGACTTCTGATCAGCCAGCAAGGTCCATTCCAGTGCCCAGAGGTCAGACCACAGGCAACCCTGAGGCAGCTGGGGCACCTCCTCTCTGCCCTGCAGGGCTTGCCCCAGGGCGCAAGGCTCCCCAGCCAAAGCCCCTTCTTACTTGCCTTAAAACTGGAGAGAGGAATCTAGTATTTGCACTTAGCAAAATATTTAAAAACTGAAAAAATTGTGCATGATCTGTCACTTTGTATAAAAATAGAAAAATGATTAAGTAGTTAAACCTTTTTCTTTACCTTCTGGCAGTAAAAATAGATAAAATAATTTGTTCATACTACTGTGTGTAAAAAGCCTGTATCATATGTAACTGGGACTTTTTGTAAATAAATGTTTGTGCACTCTGCTCCCTCTGGCTTCATGTCTCCCCACTGCTGCCTGGCAAGTTACAAGGGCAGCTGGCAGATTAGTCCAAGTGATCAATCTAAACCAGCATCCGTACCTCCCCAACTGTGTCTCGGCAGGAGCAGGCCCGGAAGGCACACCAATGTGTAGTAAGAGCCCCTGCCCCTCCCCTGCCAGGGAGGAAGATCAGGTGATCTGCTAGGCAGATCGCGCTAGGGCAGCTACCAAGGCCCAGATTGGACACAAAGGGTCTATTTGTTTGTTTTGGGCACAGAATCCCCTTCAAAAAAGGTGTGGTCAATTTCTCTTGCCGGCCCCTTCCCCAGTCTCTGTCCATCTAAAGGTCAGATAAACCAGGAGAAGCCTCACCCAGCTGAGGAGTGGACAAGGTTCCAAGGACAGGAAATGCCTAGGCTGAGAGGCCGTGGCATTTGAGTCCCTGCCCTGCATGATGGGAGGCTGCAGTGCCAGGGCCCTACTACCCTCACTGGTTGTACAGCGTCTTCCCCTCTGGAGTCCTTCCTGCCATGTACCAGGCCAGGTAGGAATCTGAACCCTAGATCTGAAGGGATCCCTGAGCACAGGGGAAGCTGAGACCTCCAAATACAGACGGACTACAGCTCACTTTAATAAAACAAGGAGTCTCCTGCCGTTTGCAACTTTTTTTTTTTTTTTTTTTTTTTGAGATGGAGTTTTGCTCTTGTTGCCCAGGCTGGAGTGCAATGGCGCAACCTTGGCTCACCGCAACCTCCGCCTCCTGGGTTCAAGCGATTCTTCTGCCTCAGTCACCCAAGTAGCTGGGATTACAGGCATGTGCCACCATGCCCGGCTAATTTTTTGTATTTTTAGTTAAGACGGGATTTCACCATGTTGGCCAGGATGGTCTCCATGTCTTGACGTCATGATCCACCCGCCTCGGCCTCCCAAAGTGCTGGGATTACAGGCGTGAGCCACCGTGCCCAGCCTGTGTGCAACTTTCTGTGGAGCAATTATCTGGTTTTGGCAGGGCGCAGTGACTCACGTCTGTAATCCCAGCACTTTGGGAGGCGGAGGCAGGTGGATCACGAGGTCAAGAGATGGAGACTATCCTGGCCAGCATGGTGAAACTCCGTGTCTACTAAAAATACAAAAATTAGCTGGGCGTGGTAGCACTCGCCTATAGTCCCAGCTAATTAGGAGGCTCAGGCAGAAAAATAACTTGAACCCGGGAGGCAGAGGTTGCAGTGAGCCAAGATCACACCACTTTACTTCATCTAGCCTGGTGACAGAACAAGACTCCATCTCAAAAAAAAAATTACCCGTTTTTTGCATGTCTGAGAAAAAGTATACTAAAAGCTTCAAAAGGAGAGTTACATGCCCCCCCAAAAAAGTTACCCATATTCCCAGCTTCTAAACCATTTTTGTTTGTTTGTTTTTTTTTTGAAGCGGAGTCTAGCTGTGTCACCCAGGCTGGAGTGCAGTGGCACAATCTTGGCTCACTGCAACTTCTCCCTCCCAAGTAGCTGCGATTACAGGCATCTGCCACCACACCTGGCTAATTTTTTGTGTGTGTTTTAGTAGAGACAGGGTTTCACCATGTTGGCAAGGCTTCTCTTGAACTCCTGACCTCAGGTGATCGACCCGCCTCAGCCTTCCAAAGTGCTGGGATTACAGGTGTGAGCCACTGCTCCCGGCCCAAATCGTGTTTATTTTTAACTTGTTCATGCCATGCAGTCCTTGTTCCCGTTCCTGTTCTATATTTGCAAAAACATCATACAGTTTTCTGCAATTTTGGTAAATAAGTAAAAGCTATTTATCCATTTTGCTGCTATCCTTTTTTCCATCCAATGTGACCAGGGTGGGTGGTATTCTTCCCACCTTCTGCAGGTGCCGGCCAGCATATTGCAACATGCCTGATCAGGGCTTTGGGGCCTTTGGTTTTAAAGAAGTTAGTACCTTGCTTTTCTCCCTTAACAATCTTGGACTGTCCTCCAGGTCTATGGCTCTGTCTGCATCCAATTTGTTATTTTGTCTTCCATGATTTTTTTTTTTTTTTTTTTTTTTTTAGTCGGAGTCTCACCCTGTCGCCCAGGCTGGAATGCGACGGTGTGATCTTGGCTCACTGCAACCTCCACCTCCTGGGTTCAAGTGATTCTCCTGCCTTAGCCTCCCGAGTAGCTGGGATTATGGGCACGTGCCACCACACCCAGCTAATTTTTTGTATCTTTAGTAGAGATGGGGTTTCACCACGTTGGCCAGGCTGGTCTCAAACTCCTGATCTCATGATCTGCCCACCTCATGATCCACCTGCCTAGGCCTCCCAAAGTGCTAGGATTACAGGTGTGAGCCATGGTGCCCAGCCAATTTTTGTATTTTTAGTAGAGACAGGGTCTCACCCTATTGGCCAGGCTGGTCTTGAACACCTGACTTCAAGTGATCCACCCCCCACCTTGACCTCTCAAAGTACTCAGATTACAGGCATGAGCCACTGCACCTGGCCTACTTTTTCTAACTGTCTCTTTCTGAGATGGGCTCTCACTCTGTCTCAGAAAAAGGTGTAAGAAGGCACTCCCAGGCTCGAGTGCAGAATGCGATCATGGCTCACTGCAGCCTCAGCCTTCCTAGTAGCTGGGACTACAGGGGTCGGCCACCATGCCCAACTAACTTTTGCATTTTTTTGTGAAGAAGGGGTCTCACTGGCTGAGTGCTGAGGCTAACGCCTGTAGCACTTTCAACTGGAGTTCAAGACAAGCCTGGTCAACATGGTGGAGATACCCCATCTCTACAAAAATAGAAAAATTAGCCGGGCATGATGGCAGGTGCCTGTAATCCCAGCTACTTGGGAGGCTGTGGTAGGAGAATCTCTTGAACTCAGGAGACAGTGATTGCAGTGAGCTGAGGTTGTACCACTGCACTCCAGCCTGAACAGCTGAGCGAAACAAACAAAAAAAAAAGTGGGAGGTCTCACCGTGTTACCCAGGCTGGTGTTGAAGCAAGCGGCCTGGGTAACACAGTGAGACCTCTTCTTGGGCTCAAGCAATCAGCCCACCTCAACCTCCCGAAGTGCTGGGATTACAGGGGTGAGCCACCATACCCAGCCTTTTTTATTTTTTCATCCTTAAAAAGTGACTTTTTTTAATGGAGGTTGCAGTGAGCCAAGATAACGCCACTGAACTCCAACCTGGGTGACAGAGTGAGACTGTCAAAAAAAAAATTTTTTTAAGCCTCTCAAAAAATACATTTGCCGGCCAGGCATGGTGGCTCACGCCTGTAATCAAGCACTTTGGAAGGCCAAGATGGGTCAGGAGTTCGAGAACAGCCTGACCAACATGTTGAAACCCCATCTCTACTAAAAATGCAAAAAAGCCAGGCATGGTGGTGTGTACCTATAATTCCAGCTACTCAGGAGGCTGAGGCAGGAGAACCACTTGAACCTGGGAGGCAGAGGTTGCAGTGAGCTGAGATCATGCCATTGCACTCCAGCCTAAATGAATGAATGAAATATAAAAAACATGTTTGCCAGCCAGGTGCAATGGCTCATGTCTGTAATACCAGCCACTTCAGGAGGCTGAGGCGAGTGGATCACCTGAGGTCAGGAGTTTGAGACTGGCCTGGCCGACATAGTGAAACCCCATCTCTACAAAAATACAAAAATTAGCTGGGCATGATGGCAGATGCCTGTAATCCCAGCTACTCGGGATGCTGAGGCAGGAGAATCACTTGAACCAAGGACATGGAGATTGCAGTGAGCCAAGATCATGCCATTGCACTCCAGCCTGGGTGACAGAGAAAGACTCCCTCTGAAAAAAAAAATTTTTTTTTCAATCAAAAGTGTACAAAAAATAGAAAATTTATGTGCAAACTAGGAAAATCTTGAAAACAAAAATATGAAGCAAAAATAGACATGCTTTGTAACCCAAAGATAACTGCCGATCACATCTCGATGTATTCTGCCCAGTGTGATCTTTGTGATACATAACAGTGTTCATGAAACTAGTGAACCAGACATGAAGGTTTTCATCTTGCTTTTCTTTTTCTTTCTGGAACATTTATAAGACATGAGCAAGTGCTTCTGAAACAGGCTTTTTAATTAGCTCTTTGCCTTCAAGAGCCTCTCACAGCAGATTCCATCTGCCTTCTCTTTGAACTTCTTGTGGCCATCTAGGTTGGTGTGAAGCTAATATTCACCAGGCTACCAGCTCTGTTCTCAGGACCTTTGAGGGGACGTGGCCGCTTCTACACTCCCTGGTGTGTGTTCCTCTTGATCAGGACGAAGTCTGTTTGCCATTTCCACTCATCGCTTCCTGTTCCTTCATCCACGTACGTGTCTGGTGGAGACCCGTGGACTGATCTATGGCTTTGCTTCTCCCCAAGAGAAGATGCCAGTTAAACCCACAGGGGAGGGACTTGGGTGAGTGCCAGCTGCTGGGTCAGGCCCATGCTCCCATCTTGTTGGGTGTCACCAAAGGTGGGGTGGTGAGAGCCCTGGCGGCAGGCATGGTGCACCTGGGCCTGGTGTTAGTAAAATGGGAATCTCCACAGCATCGTCTTCCTTGGGCTGTGAGAACTGGGGAGGGGAGATGAAAAGTGCTTGGCCGAGGACGGCAGAGAGGGCAGAATGGCCATGGTGCTGGTTGTTGCTCGTCCCACAGAGCTGTCCCATCCCTCCCCACGTTTCCAGTGACTCTTTGGCAATAAAAGCCTAATCCTTTGACCAGATCAACCTCTCAGGGTCATCTGAGGCTATCAACCCCACCTGGGGCCCCTGGGAGCACCTAGTCCACACCCACACCCCACAGATGACCGTGTGCCTGGCTGCTCACCTGTGCATGTGCCCTGAGCAGACCTGGATGGCTGGGCAGTCACGGGGCACTCGGCCCCCAGTAGGAGCCACAGAGGAACATGCACTCCAGCACCAGGTGGCAGGGGACAGGCTGAAGCGATGGAGGGGATGCACTGGGGTGGCCCGGGGACTGGGAAGGCTTCCAGGAGCCCTCATCCTCATCACCTGACCATTGCGCA